GCGTCTGGGAATGCTGGCTGGCGTGAATCATTCTCTTTCGCAAGGTATAATCGCGGTTCAGCTGAAATGAAAATGAGAGGTGCAGTAGTTATCACTGAAGACCATCGGAGCGGGTCAGGGTTGCATGGGTTTCGGCGCGGGGCCATTCCGTTCCCCATCGATTGTTGCGGCTTCAGGCATTCAATGATTGATGGAGAGGTGCTGATGACGCGCCAAAAGCAGGAGCAATGCTGACTCGCCCCGAATGACCTAGGGGATAACGACTGTAAACAAATAGTTCATGAGTAAGCAGGGGATTGGAACCGAATTTTGTTGTGACAAAGTGCAGAGTTATCTTAAAAAGGCAATTTGCACTAAGCTGCATGGCGAAACGAACGATTTCACGATTGTTCTGTATTTCAGGCGATTCGATTTCTCTTTGTGTTCGCAAGTTGTTACCACAGTGGAGATCGCTGGCTAAGCCGTATGAATTTCCACCTTTCGTAGCCCTCCTAACCAAAATCAACGAGTATTTGAATCGGACGGCTATTGTTAGCACTATTGCTGGGGAGTATTCAAAAGACAGTGGTTAGTTTAGCATAATTAATTCTCTTCAACTTTGGTAATCTTTTCGGATAATGCGAAAACTATTTCAGTTCTTGGCACGATTGCGAGAGCAGTCATGGATCCTCCTTTCCCGAATCCATCAGGCCCACTCTCCTCTCCAGTTTTCTCAAAAACTGTGAAAGTTACTCCTCCTACGCTACGTATTCGGGTAGGAGTGTTGTTTACAGAACTAATTTTTACGTAAATTTATGATATTGCTTTCAGATCTTGGCGAATTATGGTGTTTTATTTGGATTTTTCATCATTTTCCTGTTTGCCCGATACGGGATCTGGGCTCTGATTCCAGTGTTGCTAACATCGTTTATTTGTGCAATGTTCTGCCTTGCAGCCGAGGATCTCTGAAGCGTTTTAATTTTGTACAGGACATAAACCACCATTATTTTTTTAGTCTTTAGTTTTTTTGTAATATTAATAGTTGTTTTGTAGTTTGTAGGAGTGTGTTTTATGGTTCACTTATTACGTGTTTTATTTGCTCGGTTGAGGATCTGGTACTAGGCTGCGTTCACACTTTGCGTCAACTATTTGAGCGTATGGTAGCGTTTCACGGGCAGTCGCTTAAAAGCTGGTGTACGCTTAAAACGCTAGATCGATATCTATACTTTCCTAGTCGCTCAAAACGCTGCTGTACGCTCAGAACGCTAACTCTAAGTATGAACGCAGCCATGTGTTGTTGATGCAACTGCGCTCCTAAGAGCGTAGAACATTTTTGCGATACGCTTTGTTGCTTTGTTGGTTTGTTTATTATAATGGATATTTCGCACAGCCATTAATAAATATTTGACAGGTTTTCAAAAAACAGCTGGAATACACACAGGCGAATGGTTGCTCCCGTGGCTTACTTTATATAGATCGTCAGATTGGGGAGTCTCGTTGGGAATCCCCTCGTGCTCCAAGATACTGTCTCGTTCGCTGCAGATGAAGGACGTGTCGGGTGGGATGGGATAGCGCGGCGCCAAGCCCGTTTTCTACCAGTTATTGAAGTGAGCAGTTGGAAAGACTATCATATCGTCTGTATCTGTCATTTCAATACTTGTTGCCGCTTACCAGGTTCAACAGCCAGTGGAGAACGGTTTTGGCAGTGCGCCAAGCCCCTCCCGCTTGTCACGCCTCTTCATCCACAGCGAACAAGACTGCATGGAGATCTCGTCTCAGTATACTTGTCAACCGCGAAGCCTCCCTGCTCCTTCCCTTTTTCTTCATCCTTCCTTCTTTTCCTTCCTTCCTTCTACCTCCTCCCCTCCTTTGCCTTCTACCTTCAACTACTGGCCAGTAGATGCCATGGGAAAATACCTTTCGACCCTCGCAGCGAGAGCATGCCGGTTGACAAGTGCCCTGTACTATGAGATCCTTCAAAGATTGGGTGTGGAATACGAAGTTGTTTAGGCACAATGACTATGGAAGAAGAGGTGGACAGGGAACGAAAGCCGTACGAAAGCGATCGGGTCTGGCTGATTCGGCGAACTTTCCTGCGCAAGTATTGGACAGAAATGCCAAGGTATGTGAAAGTGTTACATTTCCAAATGAACTATGGATGCGGATCGACAAGTGAGACTGCGTTTGGCGGCGAATAAATCTGGGGTTATGCACACCCTGGTGATCCGTCGTAATGATGGGCTTGTCTTTCAATATCCGGTTCTCTTGAAAATATCTATGTTCAGTTCAGAC